CACAGCAAAATAGCGATCAATAGCTATGCATGCAACATTACTAACTGAAACAGATGTGAGGAAAAAAACAGATACATTATAAAGTATGCAAAAGGTTTCTCCAAAATACCAACAGGTTTCTATTAATAAAATTAAATAAAAAGGCATCACAACTGCTCCTACTAGAAAATCTGCCACAGCCAGGGAGAGCATTAGGAAGTTAGTTGGTGTGTGGAGCTGCTTGAAGTGAGAGATAGAGATGATCACCACCAGGTTTCCACACACTGTCAGCATCACCACTGCCACTGCAGAAATATACATCACTACATACACAGCTGGAGATCGCACTTCCTTCAGGCAGGAAGAATTAGATTCAAAACAGTATCCAACTACTTGAAATTCTAACAGTTCCATTGATGTGTTACTATTCAAATTTTAAACTGGTACTGTATTGCTATAAGCATAAATTTGTAATCAAGTGTAATCAATTGCACTTGTTTTCCTTACAGTGTCTGGGAAATTCTTGTTGGTGATATGGCATTTATAGTGCAAGAAGGGTTGTTGACTCCTCCTGCTGTTAGTTTGTCCTAATAATCTCTATTCTCCCGAGGTTACACAACAAAGCTAACCCCACCCTCTTTCTGAACTGTATTAAAAATAAGAATTATTTATGATGAAGTTCTAACTTAATACATACAATACAATATTTTAGAAATGAATTAATTTCTTAGTAAACCTAATATACAAAATGTACTGTATGCCATATGCTATATGAAGGTGGAAAGCTAAATTATATTTACTTAGTGTTATTAAATAACAAGAAAAAGGAAAGTACACCAAATAATTATAGCACACTGAAATACTAGGAAGTAGAGTATGTGTTAGAATCAGAGGTATAACTGCAGCCTGCTGTCATGGATGTTAAAAGGGAAAGAAGGCTGAAAACAATGCATTTAAAAGTAAATCTTAGAGACACTTTTATTTTTTTTTATTTGTCTTTAATGCACTAAATCTTTAGTGCTCAGTGTTATTGTCACAATATCAAACATTTGTCAGGCCTCCCTGGCTGCTGGGCTGTGGAACAAGCTAGAAAACACATAAAACTGTTTTTGACTTCGACCCTGGCTTTGAACTCTGAGTGAACCTGGTTACAGCCCTTGCTTCGCTTAGATTCTGAATCTGATCCATGCCTTACCTGTACCACACTCTGGACTCCCTAGCTAGCCACAACATCACATCTGCCTGCATGTGTGGCTACTCGGCTCGCCAGCCTGCAAGCAGCTTGCTTTCAAACCACAAAATGCATGATCCCCACTCCTCCCTGTCTCAGTAATGTGTTCTGTTTGGCAGACTCCCCAACTTTGCTGCCTGTTCATCCTGGAATTCAGTTCTTAATACTCCTAGGTTGCGTAGAGTCCAATCTTGGGAGATTTCAAAATCATTATTAAATTTAACACTAAACTATAAAATTGGGAAGGGCAAAATATTTTTTGACAAAAGCAAATGTTCAGGCTGCCTACAACATCTTTAAGACAATTGTGGCAGTTTAGCTATTACACAAGTCCTAACATATCAATAGAGTATTTGTTTTTCTTACGTGTTTCTTGCTGCCATTGTAACATTATTGGAGCATTTGTGTTTCTCCAATATCACAAACTGTCTAACTTTATTAGTGAATGCTCTCCAGGTTATCATTGTACATAATTTATTGCTCGAGTTTTCTACTGTCACTTTCAAGACCCGGAGTATTAAAAATGAAAGATACAGGTGTGATTCTCATAAGGTCTGGGGAGAAAGGGAAGAGGATAGAAGAAATGTGTTAAATTGATCTTGTTTTTGAGTTAAAGTTTTTGTCTTTTAATGATCAAATTAAAAAACAACTAAAAATAATAGCCCAGTCTTTGCCGTGGATCATGTGTTAGGATAGTTTAAAGTATTAAATTTAATAAATTTAAGACTGTGATATTTCAATTAATCACCAACTACAAAATGGGCTAGATAAGAAGATTGGCCTCCTCCTCACAATAAAAGCGTTACCTTTATTGTGTTCTTATAATAATAAAGTTTCACCATGTTTCTATTTATGAATGTAGTGAAAGTGAATGTTACTACAAGTTACTTTGTGAAATGTTCTATTTTCCAAAAATGATGTAGTTTATATCGGCCTAAGTCACTGAGAAATTGTTTAGCCAGATACTTTTGGACTAATTTCTTAGACTTTAATAAACTCTGTTAGCAACCCTTTCTTTCAAGGTCTAAAAGTTTCCAGACCATGCTCTAATTGCAGCTTGGGTTGAAGTGAACTCAAGTTTCTGTTATTACTAAAACTTTGCTTTGTCTCTTTTCGATGTGTTCAGCCCCGTAATCTGTAAAAGTTCTTTTAATGATAAGTACCGTTCTACAAGACTCATAATGTAGCTAGCTGTGTGCAGAGCCCTCCAGATCCCCCTAAGCGAATTATGCCTCAAGAAGTAAACTCCTTAAATGTGTGTCACATACTAATCTATTCACCTTATGAATCTTTGATGATCTTGAGAAAGATGACAACATCTGGTGGATTGACATGAGAAGAAAGAGAGATTAAGTGCTTTTCCTCACTTTTATAGGGGAAGGAGCGGAAATAGTGAGCCTGGTAAAGAGGAGAGCTCATGGGACAGTCCAACACCAAACACATAGTGGATTGCTGGGCACATGGTGAAGTGGGAACCAGCATTTTGAGCCAGCATGGTTGTGGAGGGCGCTGTCTTCTCCCCATCTCCTGTCTCTGCTCAACAGCCTTGCAGTGGCCTACCCACTCGTCGTCTAGCTGACCCCCAGCTCCCAGCTGCCTGGCAGAGTAATCACAGACAGTCTCACCACGCTCTCTGTCTCATCACCCTTGCCAGTCTGCAAGCAGCCTCCTCTGGTTGCTACTGTATGCTTGTGGTGCAGGGAACAAAATAGGCCCTTTTCATTACAAAGGGGCATGCTATACACAGAGCAGGAGAATACTGTACGTGGGGATGCAGAGAGTGATGCACATGAGAAGAAAGAGGGAGAGTGTGTGAGCTTGCCCCCCTATATTAATAAGGGAGGAAGAGGAAAAAGTGAGCGCCATAAATGGCTAAAGAATAGAAGGTACAGGACAGACAAACACCGGGGGGTGCACAGTTCCCCATTTCATTTATTTTTGTTGTTTATTTTGACAGAGTACTTCGAGTACCAATCGAGTACTTCCTACTTTGAAAATACCTGTGAAACCGGTTTAATTCGTCACAGCCAGCACTCCCGCAGAGAGGGGGGTTGTACTCGTTAATGTCTTAGCACAAAGCAGAAACTTCTTGTATTTTCCGATGACATACAAGTGGAAAGATTACAGATTTTAATCGTCTTTTTTCCGAACCAGGGAAAATCAGATCATGTTTCTCTATAACAATAATAAAAAACTTTATTTTACATATCACCTTTAAAAGTGGCATCTCAAAACAATACAGTAGATGTAAACCACATATTACAAAGTAAATACCAGGACAAACGCAAACGCGTTTTTCATAAGATGCTTTTATTCGTTCATAATCCGACGATCTCAGGAAGACTAATGGGGGTCTGGCTTTTTTTCTGGAAAACCATAACTCTGGTCTTGTCCAGATTGACTGTCAGCGCTCAGGTCTGACAGTGCTGCTCCAGCACCGCCAGGTTCTGCCGCAGCCTCTTTTCTGTGGGCGACAGCAGGACCAGGTCGTCTGCAAAGAGCAGGAACTCGATTTCTGTAATTAATGCAGATCAGTAAATCAAGGGACAAAACAGTTATTGCGCCCGGCTCCTCAATGGGCTTTGACGTGCTAATGCGTTGGTTTAACAGTCCGGGTGTGGCAATGTTTTTTATTATTGTTATAGAAAAACATGATCAGATTTTCCCCTGTTCAGAAAAAAGATCTAAAGTACTGTACTGTATACTAGTTTGTCACTCTTCTCATCCCCTCTTTGCTAAATGGCTTTTGAATAGAGTCACATGAAGACAGAGGTGAAACAGCCCTACACAGCCCTGTCGCAGTACACGAATATAATTATATCTTATTAATTTCCATATAAATATTCAATACTTAACCGGGCACAGTTAAGACATTAAATATACATATACATACTGTATACAGTACAGTTTGCATACGGTAATATGTTTATGTTCCTAAATCAATCTCTTTTATAAGCATGTGAAAGGCATGGTGAATCGATTCTCAAAAATTACTGTACTTTGCATGATTGGAAACAAATGCGTAATGCTGTGGTGTTACTTTTACAAAGACGGTCAATGAAAAAAAGAATGTGGACCAGGGCAATACTTTGAGTTTACACTTACAGCTTGTCCAAGGTCATTCATTATTAATACTATTAGTAATATCTTTGTTAAAGACTTTGATGGCGACAGCCCAAACATGAGAGGTTGAGCTTAATTAGCTCCACCTTGCGGAAATTCCGGATACTATTATTTTGCTTGCGGTATTATAGGAGAATTTACGGTAACTAGCGGTATTTACCGGTAACTCGCGGTAGACTGCGTACAGCGCACTGGAAAATAATGTGGTATCGCCCGCGCATTTTGAATGGCTGCATCTGTACTTCCTATTATTTTAGTGTGCTATATTTTTTTGTTAGTCATTTTCTTTTATGTGTTATTTTTTAACAATAAGTAAATATAATTTAGGTTTCCAACTTCATATGGCATATTTCATATATTACGTTCGCTTAGAAACTCATTATTTATAATTATTATTTTTAAAAAACAGTTGAGACAGAGGGAGGGGATAGCTTTGCCATGTAACCTCAGGAGAATAGAGATTATTAGGACAAGCAAACTGTCATCAAATCCTGCTCACAGCAGGAGGAGTCAACACACTTCTTGTGTAATAAATTTCACATCACCAACAAGGAATTCCCAGACACTGTGAAGCGGACCAAGTAGAATTGACTGTGTCTACATATTATTACAAATTTATGGTTATAGCCATACATTACCAGTTTAAAATTTGAATAGTGACACATCAATGGAATTGTTAGAATTTCAAGTAGTTGGATACTGTTTTGAATCTAATTCTTCCTGCCTGAAGGAAGTGCGATCTCCAGCTGTGTATGTGGTGATGTATATTTCTGCAGTGGCAGTGGTGATGCTGACAGTGTGTGGAAACCTGGTGGTGATCATCTCTATCTCTCACTTCAAGCAGCTCCACACACCAACTAACTTCCTCGTGCTCTCTCTGGCTGTGGCAGATTTTTTAGTAGGAGCAGCTGTGATGCCTTTCTGTTTAATTTTATTCATAGAAACCTGTTGGTATTTTGGAGAAACATTTTGCATACTTTATAATATATCTGTTTTTTTTCTCACATCTGTTTCAATTAATAATGTTGCATGCATAGCTATTGACCGGTATTTTGCTGTGTGTTACCCTTTACTTTATTCTACTAAAGTCTCAATTAATATAACATCCTCTGTCATATCAATTAATTGGCTGCTATCACTACTATACAATTTGGCCTTCATGTATTTTAATGGAAATATTGATGGTGCTGAAAAACTGAACATTTGCCTTGGAGACTGTTTGTTTTTCATAACTAAAAGCTGGGTAATAATTGATTTATTATGTACATTGATATTGCCCTGTTCTGTAATGATAACATTATATTTCAAGATTTTTGTAGTTGCTCAAAAGCATGCACGAGCAATCAGCTCTGTTACAGAGCAGATGTGTTCAGCAGATAAAATATCTTCAACATCTGAAAGGAAAGCTGCAAAAACATTAGGAATATTAGTGATTGCATTTCTGCTCTGTTTGGTGCCGTATTATATATGCAGTCTCATTCTTAAAAATGTGGGCCGAACCTCTTTAGTACTTAGTGTTCTAGGTTGGTTGTTATATTTTAATTCTGCTATCAATCCTATCATTTATGCTTTGTTTTATCCCTGGTTCCAGAAGTCAGTTAAGCTGATTGTTACCCTCAAGATATTTAAAATAGAATCCTCCCTGATAAATGTGTTTTCTAAGGAAATTTAAATCTACAGTTGTCCCATTACATAAGAAAATTAGAAAAAACGAATTATTTAATTCATTTAAAAAAGAAATCTGGAGGATTGCTTTTATCCTCTGCGTGTATCTTTAATGTCAGTGTAGATGACCACCTCCAAGAAGTGTAATAAAACCTGCTGATGGGCTGTTTTGACTGGAGTGTTAATATTTTTGTTGCATGATGATTTCTTTCTTTTATTTCAATGTCTTCACGGAGGTGTTTATGTTTATTAGTATGAATAGAGGGTGAGGTGCTGGGAATGACGTGTGTCACATGGGTACCCTGCAGCAACAGCTGAGTTTTTAATATCATTTTACTCATAAATACTGGATAGATGTTGATTTTGATTTTGCATTCTTAAACAATAGCATAAAAACAAGATAAATCAATTTTAAATGCAATGTTATGGTTTATTACATAATTAATTTTCCTTTAATTTAAAGTGTTTATTAGAACCTGTAGCTACAGCTGTGATTTAATTAGCTAATTAATACTAGTTTAACTTTTATTTCAAGCTGACATACTTAACAGCATGAAAACCTAAAATGATACATTTAATTACTAATTTTGCATTGCAAAAAAAATGTTTAAAATGTTTCCCACTATTTTTGTCTTCTTTTTTCATCCTGGTACTTTTTGCAAAAGTATTGTACTCACGAATTTGTTATGCAAAAAAATAAATCTGAAGTTCAACACTTCCATGATAAAAGCAAATATTAACAGTTGTAGAGAAAAGCAGCACATTGATATGCAGGTCCTATATTGCTTTACTTTTTTTCTGTGTTTTTAAAACATTTCACCTCTTATAAGAAAACATTGAAAAAATTTAAACATTAATTTAGTTAAATATGCAAAATTGTTTAATAAGACAAATTTATTTGGATTTGAAAGTTTAATTATGTGGTTCTAGAGTTTTTTTTTCTGTGGTTTTTAACTTTACTTTAGATTTTTATTACATTTTGTCAATGTAGCTCCTTTGGGACAAAAAGCATAATTTTATGCAAGTTTACTAAGACAGGCAACTTAATAAATTTTAACAAGTCAATTAAAAGGTTATTTAAATATAAACAATGATGATTAAATAGTTTAGAACTGAAGTAATATTAATGCGTGAGGACCGTTTTATAGTTCTGCAGCTGCCTACTGTATAGTTGTCAGATCAATTTTATTTTAATAACTAAATATTTAGCACAAATTTCATTTTTATTATGTTACATATTAAAAGTCCTCTGTAGGAGAAATACATTCGATAGTGGAGTGTATGAAGTCTTAATTATGAGATAAAAATCCTCTATACAGCTGTACCTTAATTGGGAAAAAAAAGTCCTACATGTGTTTTATGTACAGTACAAGTGGGACAATATCCAATCAGGATACTGCTGTAGAAAGCTAACAAACCTGGTTGAAGATTGTTTAAGTTAAAGCATGTTTATATTGCTATAGTGAAAAGTAAAGCTCACAAGCCTTTCTCCTAGGATGAACCTCCATAGTTTTACACTAACATAACTTATTGTCCATGTGAAGAACAAACCAAAAGATCAATAATTGATTTCCTGCCAGAACCTGCTGGTTTTAATATTGTGGGGAATCGGTCGACTCGGAGTGCGGATGAGAGAGAATGAGCAGACAGAAGGCGAGCTGCAGCAGT